GGGGTGCGGGGCGAAGGCAGGAGAGGAGGTAGGCCGCTGCGGGTACCCGTGTGGCAGGGATGTCGTGCTGCCCGCGGCATGGCTCGGGAAAACTGAGGCGGCTCTGGCACACCGGTGAAAAACACCCTATACCGCACAAGCAGCTCTCTTGAACACTATGTTACTTAAGTCTTTAATACTTTTTATGCTCAGGGAGTGTTGGGTGTCCACGTTTTCTGCTTTATGGAAGACTTGCTGGCTCACTGTAGTTTGTAATAGAGCCTTGAATATGCTTATTGGAAAGCATATAGGAAATGATTTTAATGACTTTCTTGTCCTTTTAGTGTATATTTTTCATGGTAAGTGGAATACTTTAGAAATAGTTCTTTAAGTAGATACAAATTTACTATTTAAAATCCGTGTATTTGTAAGTTTTAAAATATTCAATGTTTCCTATTGATTTCCTTTGTATAAGATACTGGAATTAATTACAATTTAGAATTGCATACAAGTTTGTGGTAAATCACTTGCATCTGCTGAATACCTTCCAGAAACAGAAATGTTTGGAAACTTCCTGCAGACTTTTAGATAGAGATCCGGGTTCCCAGTCATTAGGATAGGGGATGCAGCGTCCTCTGCAGCACGAGAAGAGGAAAGGATGCGTTATCTGGGCTTACAAGGAAATTATTTGAGCCTGAAGTTTTTATATTCTTTTCAGGTATCTACGTTATCCTGTCTTCTGGCAGCTTAACTTGCTAGTGTTGTGAGGAGTAAGTGTGAATTGATATTGGAACTATTTTTTCCATCAGATGGACATATGAAAATAAAGGAACAGTAAGCAAGGCAAAAATACACTAATGAAAAGCCTTTGCGTAATGTTCTGTAATACAGAACATTAAATCTTAAAAACAAGTTTAAATATATCAGTATTCTCTTTAACGGTATTTGTCAGATGCTGTCTTAGTTCTCTAAAACAAGATTAAGAAAAAAATCCTGTTCAGTTGCAGCTACGACTCCAGACACGATCATACAAAAAGGTTACAAATTTGTGCTGGTTTTCAAGCGTTACTTTACTGTCATGTCATTAGAGGGGAAATGCTTTTTTTTTTTCTCTGTTTAAACGAGGTAGTTTGTATAGTTCAGTAATTCTGATAACTCTGTGTTGCAGCTTCTGCTTAGAAGCTGTTGGTGGAACAGTCAATCACTTCTGCTTTTGATTATTGTCGCCGTATCTCATTTGCCATCCATGTGGCAAAAGGGAACAGAAAAAGTATTTTTAATTAACTGGAAAATCTGTGGAGTAAAAAAAATTGTCAAATGGTCTGGTAAATATGGTTAATTTAGTACTTGATATTTTGTGGAAGATTACTGGATTATGATTTAACAGTGGCTTGACCAACCTTTGGTGTGTATTTTAGCTTATTTAATACACATTATAAAATCTCATAAGAGGTCCCAGCTACTTCTGAAAGCATGTGGCTGTGCACTAAGAGATAAAAGCAAAAAATTCTTTTCATGGAGATTACATGGAATAAATAACGTCACACAACTTTTCTCAGTGATGAAGTGGATTAAATTCTTTGTAAAGACAACTATCATATGGAATAAATAAAAGCAATCTCTGAAAAGGGACTATGAAATAAATCATTATTATAAAAGGTCCTTAATATATAATATCTGAAAAATTTGTGCCTTTTATTTTTGTATGCTTTCATTTTGCATAGGGAGGAAAATATTTCATATTATAACAGATCATAAGTAAAAATTACTTAATTTTAGCTTTCTTTGTATTTACCCCAGTGTCAGCAACAGCAGTGTAGTACAATGTCATACGACTTTTTATTCCCTGAAGCTGATTGTGCGGACATCAAAAGAAATCCAGTTATATGCAATTCTGTGGAATGATTTCAGTACTTTACATAGACTGCTCAAATAAGAAGGTTTTTTCTTTCTCAGTAGACCTAGTGCGTGCTGCTGCCATCACCTTGATAATGTTACATTGGTGGAATCATGCCTACAGTTGAGGAGCATTCGAGTTTGCTGAAGGTATGGTAGGTTGATAATTTTTGTTGTTACTGATTATATCTCCTGAAGCAAGACTTCTAGACTTTTCCATGATCTCTGAGTTAAGGGAATTTGATGGGTCTTTTTTTGGTGTACCACAACATTTACTACCAGTGGTTTGTGCTCTGCAGCTTGAAACCAATTTTGTAGGTTTTAGAATACACAGTTGTTAGTACAAATATTAAGAAAACAAATTAGTACTTACGACATTTCAGTAGATAAGTCTGTATAATTTGGGGAATTAGGTTGCTTTTCATTTGTGCAGTGGGTGATTCAGCTGATGCATTGTGACTGATCAATATCCTATATTACAAAGGTGGTCAGCCTTCCTGACGAGCAGCCATATACCAAGATCTTCATGTGTTTACAAGACACAGACCACATACTAAAGAGAGCAGAGTGGAAAGGAAACTCTGGGAGACGCTCATAGACAGGGCGCACTAGATATCACTGTGGGATGGGTGCACATATTAGAGCCAGAGGAATCCAACGATGCCAGCTCAGCAGCTCTTGCCATCTGGCTTCCTTTTACCACCTATAGTTGTATTTTCTGGCAGTTCCTGGACCCCAGTTTGGGATTATGGAGTCGCCTAGTGACAGTAAGCCTCACTTGACTTCATCATGCAGCACCTGCTAGTTAAAAAGCTTAGCTTTGCCTTGTCAGTAGTAGTATGATAGATAGCACATGTGCCTTTTAAAGGCTGGTTTCTAAATTTGAAAACTTACCAAGTGGACTAACTTTTCTTAGTGCTTGTGAAGATGTCAGTGTTCGTTGTTGGGAGCTTCTCAGAGAAGAATACAGGGTGTAGGTTTTTCTCAAACTTGCCTTACTCAGAACATTAAAAGTTAGAGACATTGATTTTTAGCTAGTAGTTATGACTGTGCTTAACTGCTTTAATTCTGTCTCATTACAGGTATCTCAGAATTGAATTATTCTTAATAATCCATACAGGATGAAAGAAGAATGATCTGTTTTTCAAATACTTGAGTTTGTTCTTTGTAACAACATGGTTTACTGTGAAAATTGAAAGAAGAATCTTTCTGGACACTTTAAAGATAGCTGGTAGGCATAGCAAAATGCTTTGTTTGAGGCAGGTTTGCTTGTTTACGCTGAGACATTACCAAGCTCGGACTCTGAGTAGTGACCTGCTTTTGAGCCAGATAAATAGCTGCACCCATGAAGATGAAGTGTTCAGCCTCATTGGAAGGAACAAGGCCAGGCTTTCTGAAAAACATGTGGGAATTGCACTGAACATGCTGTGGCAACTGCAAAAGAAGAGGCCGCTTCTCTTAAGGACTAATGAATATATAAGAAATCACTCCCAGTTTCTTGCTCTTTGCATTTTGGCAGAAAACAAGGTGGAACACATGGAAGATGAGGCCATAGTGGACACCCTGTATAGTATTTTGAGGTAAGCAGCATTATGTTGAATTCCGCATCTGTACATTTTGTATTAGGTAATTGTTATGGTTTGAAGAACCCACAACAATTTATTGTCGTTTAGACAATTATTCTATCACCCGATGACACCTCCAGACCCAGGAAGGCCAACTGGGGAAAAAACAAGGAAAACTGACCGTTGAAATATAAACAGATTGAATCTAATAAGACTAAACAATTAACATTAGTAACACTAAAGAACCAATATTGATCCTGATACCAATATAAAATATACGAGGGTTATACTTCGCCAATTCTATCAGTAGGAAGCTGTGCACTCCCAGCAGTGGACAGCAAATGTCGGACACTGCAAGTGCTACGGCTTCAGAAGGAAGGGAAGACCTCAGCAGTCTGGCACCGGGGCAAGAATTTCTCAGGATTGCAGCCATCAAGGAAAAGAGATAACTCCTCAGCAAAATTTCTAATTTGAATGTGACATTCATAGTATGAAACAACCCTGTTGGCCAGCTTGGGTCAAGTGCCCGGGTCTCGTTCCTCCTCATCCTGCCCCTGGCTAGCTCGAAAACACTGAGACCTTGAAACCCACATACCATAGCTGGCTATAAAGTAAATATTTTCACAATTCAGACACTAGTCTTCTAAAAGTGCAGTTTTCCCAAGCATTAGAAGAGAAATTAGTCCTGTGTTGCTCAAACCAGGACAGTAATAAAAAGAGATGGAATTTTGACTACAAAGCCATCATATATGGAGACTAGGATACTGCCCTGTCCCAGCTTCTGTACTCTGTGTGATACAGACAACTTAATGTTGTGCCTCAGTTTTTGAGATGCAGGCACAACTGATCTGTTTTGCACTCCCAGTAAATGGAGTTGTGGTTATTAATGCACAGATGTTTATAATCTGTTTGAATGGAGGGAGCAATAGCAACGTGAACCATGATAAATAATGAAAGGACTTGTGTCTTATTTTTTATAACTTTTGAAGCAAACTTCAAACTATTATGTCTTTCTTCTGAAGGCTCAATGTTGAAGACCACGATTCTCTAGCAGAAGTGCTTGTTACAGAAGCATGGAAAAGATTAGAAAGGCAAGTACTTTACGACTATGCTTTGTGAAAAGTTGCAAGCGTGGTTTGCTTCATGTGAGGCTACACAGAGTTCTCAAAAAGTATTTATGAGATGTTTTGAGCGTTATGTGAGTATTTTAAATGACAATTGTATTTTTGAAGGTTTTGGAAATTATCTTTACACATATGGAGGTTTTGAGTATTGATGGACTTTGGTACACAAATGCTTGAGAGATTCAGATACTACAAAAACAGGGACTGACAATTAAGATTTTTAAATACATTGTCTGTGTAGGTTTACGTGTTCAAAGTATTTACAGTTTTATCTTAGAGCTTGCTGTCCAACTCTTGAAAGGTTGTTAGAACCCTGCTTATCTCAATTTTAGTAAAAACTTTTTGTGTTAAAACATCAACATTTTCCCTTTGTTCGTTTTTTTTGTTGTTCTTTGTTGGGTTGTTTTGACTTACTTTGTGGTGGTCTTTTTTTTATATATTGTAATTTTCATTCTTTAATCTCAGGTTAATGGCAGAAGCTAGTGTCAGTCTTGGCACCAGCATCACAGAATTGCCTCTCCCAGCTTAACACCTGGGGCATCTTGACAATTAAATAAATTCAGTGTAGCGTGAACATAAAATGACATTCGGGTAATAAATTGCACACATTCCTTTTAGCTATTTCACACCATTGGTTGAGAATGTGATCTTTACAGATTTCTTACAGTGATCTGGTTAAATGAAGGACTTCTGATTTTTTTGTAGAGCTCCGTATGCACAGTGTGCGTTGATATAAGCTATCTAGGTGTTTTGGCTAAGTGCAAGGAATCACTATAGGTGATCAAATTGGAAATGTTGATGTTTTGGTTTTGTTTGTAGATGTTTTGTTTCTTTGTTCTATACTTTGGATATAAGCTTGTCTTTTGTATATTTGTTGAAGTAGATTTTTGTCTTTAGTTACTTACTAGAAATAAAAGGTAAATATTCTGTCTGTCTTTGTCTTGACAGGCTTAGTCTGCCAGCTCTGTCTAAATTCGCACTGTGTTTACACAAGCAACGCAGATATTTCAGTCCTGCAATTGGCAAAGTAGCTCATATTGTGGACATGAAACTGGACTCTATACAGGATATAAGGTAAGTGTCAGAATGAAATTAAATAGCAGGAGAAGCAATATGTCACAATTACTGGGCTGCCTTTGCTGAATGCTTTCCCTTTTTCTCAACTGGAGGTTGCGTTTCTTCAGTTTGGGGTTTGTGGGAAAGAGGTGATTTGTATTAGTGCATTGATTTTCATGGACAGGTTTGCTTAGGTCAATTCATTTTCCCAATGATGTTGTAAAGAATTTCTTTATAACCAATTTAAACATTTAATTAAAACTAATGTTCTACATACGGTGGCAAACCAGCAGGTATTGCTTTATCCCAGTTCTAAATCTTACATGGTCTTTTTTGAGAATTTAGGTGCTTGAGATTTGAGAGAGGCAAGCTCTTCCTTGAGATTGATAATTTCTCTAATATAACATGGCTTTAGTTTACTATTGTGAATAGCAATAAGGAGTCTTAAAGCAATGTTACTTTTACTTATCTTCAGAGCTTTCTGTTTTTTGGTCAAGCTGAATTAATCAATTCTCTTGCTAGCATGTCTAGTGCATTACCCTAATATTAACATTACTTAAAGCGTGACCCTAGTCAAAAAAGTCCAAGCTTCTTTTTCTTGCCTCTGTTCCCCCTGGGCCATTATAGCAAAGGCTGCTCTTCCCTTTTTCTGCTTTATATAGCACCAGCCGTCCCAACACTTATTTTTGTGGACGTGAGGAGCCTGCTTATGAAACTCATTGAATGGGACTGCATTTCTTTACAGAACTAGCTCTCCCTGTGGTTGTAAGTTTTATTCCCTTAGGAAAGGATTCTTTCTTTAGGAGTGACAATGACTCTTCTCCCTATTCTGTCACTTGTGAATTGTTTGGGTTTCTTTCGTTTCCATTGAACATTAAATATCTTTTTGCAAATTTGAATCAGGCAAGTCAGGGTGTTGCCTTAGGCAAACGCTTTCATTGCATGCAGCTTTGTAAAAGATGGCTGAAAAATCCCAGTCGTTTCAGAAATTCACTGAAAGCAGAATCCTGGCTTTAGTAGGAGAAACGGGTTTTGCTCATCTGTTTTTTCTGCATTAGATTTAAAATTCCTTTTTACGCAGAAGTCAGCAACACCCTGACTAACGTTCCTTTATTTGCATAGTTTATTTAAGAAATCTAAAATGTATTACTTACCACGTTCAATGTGTAAGTGTGCAATCTTTTGAATTTTGTAGGATCTTGTCGGTTTTGATGATCAGCATATCTGATGTTATCTCACAGAGTTTTCGAGATCGATTACTACACAAGGCTGAACAGCTCTTGGAAGAAAAGGATGAAGTCCACTTCAACTATGCCAGAAGAATACTACAGTTTCTTCAAAATGTTAAACTGAGATATCATCCATTGGTAGAAAAATGCAACAAGATTTTCCTTAAAAGTGCCTCCTGTCTTGATATACACAGTATTAGTCTTATTTTTGGACTGTATGAGCATCTGGGTTTTGACAATGCTGAATTCCGCTTGGTTGCTAAACAGTTGCTGTCTGAAACTATAGATGATTATCATGATCCTGAAACCTTTGCAAAATTATTTTTTACTCTTGGGCCTATGGCAGGATCCAAGGTAAGAGAAAGGTAAGTTTATTAACAATTTTGTCTTATTTATGATATATAGATAGTCTTGCACAGAAAATAAAAATGTACTGGTGTTTGGAGGAATTTCTGAGCCTATCCCTGAGGTGAGTGTTAGGTTTCCTACTTGTAACTTTGTAGCAATGTATTATTTCATTATGGAAACACTGTCATAGCAGTTTGTCTCAAAACAGTTGCGTAGAAAGCTCCATCCAGTAATCAAAGGGTACGTGAATGCCATTATGCGAGGCCATCTTGTAGCTTGGTCTTAGACTACAGCCGTGCTTTCACAGTAGATGGTAATAAAAAACTTTCTGTCTTGCTCCTGAGAAATATATGCAGCGGTATGTGTTGCTTTTTTCCTTTTTAAGACTGGCAGTAGCTGAAACAGCCTGAGTCTTGTCTTATCCCAGTTTGCTGTACATCTTATTCTATGTGAAAGGTCATCAGCAGGGAACACTTCAGCATTTATTTAGCAATTAGAGCATATTATTGTGTGGCAGACTTTCTTCTGCCTGCTTTTCTTGTGCTACAGAATCCTATTTGGGGGTGGTATTAGTCATGGGTCTCTCAAAGTCTGCAGTTTTAGGCAGAATTTGCTGTATTAATTACAATTAGTCATATTTTCAGACTTTTCTTCATGAATGTTTGTGTCTGTTCTGAGATCTGGATAAAGTGCAAGCCTGTGTTGGTTTTGCCGTAACTGTCTCAGTTCCAAAGGCTTTTCCTAGATTTATTTTTTTAAATTTATTTTATCTTTGGTAAAAATCAGAGTGAGTTAGAAAAAGTCTTTGCCTTTATTTGCCTCAGAACCAGTTCAACTCACTTTTGAATCTGTTACCTGTAGCTTCCTGATTGGTTGTGAATTGTTTAGTGTCTTAGAGCTCCTTCCCTACTTCTTGTCTACTTTCAGAATTGTTGGACTTTCTGGTTTACTGATCTAACACGCTCGTATCTCTTTACCTGTGCCATACTGTGCCAGCTGTTTAGAAAAAGCGTCCACAGAACAAAGGTCTCTAGTTCAGGGAAATTTGTTTTCCTGTGTTTTCTGAAGTAGTCTATTGGTTCTTTCCCTTCTAGACATCGAAAATGGCTGCAATGTTTGCTGGAGGTTTTCAACTGTTTTTCACTGGAAAATACATAATTTGTTTTCCTCTTTAGGTTGCTAGTAACTGCAGTGCACATGGCAGAAGAATTTAGCAGTCACCAAGTATTGGTAATACTGAAGACGATGCAGAAAATGAAATGCAGAAATTCTCATCTACTTAAAAAGTAATTGTTTTGATACTACTAAGAAGTTGTATTCTCTAGGTAAACTACTTTAGTATGGAAAACTATATAATATCCACCAAGTTGAGAGTGGAGAGTGTCACTTGCGTACAAATGCATATACACTATATATTATAAGCTATTACAGATTTTAAAATATCACAGTTTGACTCAGAAGTAATTGAGGCAATTTAGAAATTTTGTGGAAGGGCATTTCTACCCTAAAAAGTTAATGTAATGTAAATTTTGGCTTATTTACAAATATGTGATCCTATTTGAGTAAACTTTGCCTCTAACAATTATCATAAACTGGTGAGACAAATAAGAATATAATAAGTTGTAGAGAATGTGTCCTGTCTAGGAGATCCTGTTATTGATATAAATTTTCTGAAAAAGTCATTGTGCCCTACTTTGAACTATTAAGTCTTACGTCTTTAAGAACCTGGGCCACATTTTCTGCAGTCGTAAACTGGATGTTGTTTATAGGGAGAGGTAATATCTTCCATATAATGAAGGGAAAAGCAGTTGAGGTTCTGGGCACAGAAGATGCAGCATCAGATATGTCACAGATGCAGGCAAGTTAAGTGCAGGTTGTGAGCAATAACTGGATTGAATGTAGTTGTATGAACCAAATAGATCCTTTGAAGAAAAAGGACAAGTAGTATTGTGGAGCACAGTGGTATTAAAGGGAGGAGCAGGTGAATCCATACTTTTTCTCCTTGAATCTCACTGCCTAAAGAAGGTCTTGAGGTATCTTTCTCTGCAGATCTAGCTCCCTCTTGCAGCTTTAGACCAACATAGCTGTAGCAACCACTGTTACATAAGTGAGTACAGTGGTGCTGAAGCTGGCAATGCTGTTCTAGTTTATCCCGTTCTTGGTCCACTCCAAATTTAACTGACTATAGAATCTGCAACAGAAATTGCTAGAGTGAAGTAGCTGTTTTGCTGTGATGAGAGCTTTAATTTTACAATTCACTAAGTGGAGAGAGGCTGCTGTGTCCACTGTAAGAACTGGGGTGGAGAGGAGTGCAGGTGTGTGCAGCCCTCCACCTAGGTACTGTGCACCACAGGACTTCCCTTCTTCATGTGGGATGTTGGATCTTGCAGTATCTTCTGTATTAGCATAATACCACGTCATTTTTTTTCTCTTTGAGTTCAGAATGGCTTCAGTTCTGCACAAACACTTGGATAGCTATCATGTACTACAGTTGGTAAAGTTAACACAGGACTTGGTGGTGTTGCGTTGCCACAATCTGGAGCTATTTGCCAAACTAAAAATGTTACTATTCGGGTAAGTGTGTATTCTTGGAAATGTAGCTATTTAAGTATTAAACAGTTGCCTACTTAATATTTTAAATAACAAGTGAAGATGTTAAAATTGTTTTGTTTCCAGAAAATATGAAAACAAACTGTTAAAAGTATTTGAGTCTATTAAACATGTAAATCAAAGGATAGGAGGTGGATATTGTCTTGATTGTAGACCCAACAGTATCTGCTAATAGACAAAATATCTTTTAAAAACAGATATTTTTTTTGCCCCTTGGCCACTGCAATATAATGACAGTGAACAGGAAATTTTGATTGGTACTTTATAGGAAGAGTAGGTATTAATGTTGTCTTTGATGTTCGGATGAACAAGTAATGAAAAACATTCAGTAAGAATGTCATGGGAAAGTGTGAAGCACAAGTACTCTTCTTTTGATTGAAGAACTGTCTAGTCAGTGCTCAGGCTCGTACAGTTGCAATGTACAAAGGGAAACTGTTTCTGGAACCACGGGAGAAGAGATTTGCCATTGTTGCTTCCACTTCTCAGCCTCTATAGGAATGCAGTGCCCTGGCTGTGTGTGTGTTTATGTCTGATGCCTTCATGTTGCTCAGGCACCTTAGAACCTGGTGCTCCCCAGGACAGAAATCACATAAATTATCCAGGTCCAGAAACCTACAGACTCTGTTAACAAAGGTGGATCTTCTGTCCTTACGAAGGACTTCTGTGTTTTTCAGTAACACTTGAAGCCTCACCAGCTGACTGAGATGCTCACTTTTTTCTTCCTGATTGCAATTTTGAATAAATGAGAAGGAAGAAGTTAATCTCAATGAGAAAAAGACGGTGGTGTGTGTGAATTTCTACCATGTCATTAATATTCTACTTATTTTATATTTGGTGTGCAGCTTTTGACTTCTAAAATAGAATTTTCATGCATGTAATTTATTTGTTTTTTTTTAACATTTGGGCTTTGTCAGTACTGATGGTTTGTTTCTGTATCTCTCTTCCAGTTTTTTAAAATCTAATGTCATACCTGCTGAAACTGCTGCAATAATTCGTGTTCTGGCTATGCTTCCTTCCTTTCAAGTGGAGGAAATCATTATAAACAAAGCAGCAGCAGTTCTGCCTCAATGCAGGCTCCATCATTTGAATTGCATTGCTACAGCTCTTGTCAAATGGAATCATTATGACCGGTTGCAATGGCAAAACAGTTCTGAGCTATGCGTAAAGCTTCTTCAAAAACTAAATGACTATGGATTTGAGAGGCTTCAGAAAGCCAACAACTTAAATCTGCTGTTGGAAGAACTTGTGTATGTGAATGGAGAATGGTTTGAAGAAGTCCTCAATGAAGAAACTATGGCCACATGCCAACGCTTGATAGACCAAATAACATGGGCAAATGTATTACAGTTGTCTCTCTTTCTCATGAAAACAAACCACCGTTGTCCTTCATTACTTGACAAAATAGCTTCTGTGACTGTTGAAAATATAGACAAGGTATTACAGATTTTGTTTCTATCTACTGTGTTAGTTATTGAGTAAGAAAGGACAGGTTAGTAGTTAATGTGTTTCAGAGCACAGTCTACAGCGTTTGTAAGAGTTCATCTTTTTCTGTGTTCAATCAAAGCTGTTTTGCTTCCATGGATATTATTTTGCTCTTCTCTTTGATTTTCCTTCCTTATTTTGTTGTCCAGTCAGTCTTAGGTCAACCATAATCCTTTGCATTCAGCTTTACATTTGACCTTCTTAAATATTTTTTTTTAACCTCTTTACAAATAGTCACATCACATAGTGTATGTTTCTACATTATTCATTCATGTGGGGATTTCCCCAGTAGCCTGTCTTTTTGGTCAAAATTACTGTGTTTTCTTGCTATCTCTCTATTTATTTTTTTTTTTCTCCTTCTCAGTCTGATATTTATGTAACTCTTTGATTTTATTCTATGACAGTTTAGTTTCTTTAAGAGCATTTAATGGGAAACCTTTTTAAAAGTTTCTTAAAGTCTAAGTATACGGAAACACTTGGATCATCTACATAAAATAGATCGTAATTCTTAGCCATGGCTGCAATTTTAATGATTTCTGCATGATTTTTTTTTTAATATTTTTCTTCAGGAAAAGTTGACCAAAAAAAGTAATTAGAAAACAGGTCATCTAGTCTTAAATCTCCCAATTCTGAATGAATTATAAACCCCTTTTTTATTGTTGGGCAATATTAGGATATTTTGCAGTGACTTAATTTAGAATGTCTTTTTTTTTCCAGATCCACCCCTTTGAAATCTATTTTATTCTCCTCCTTTTCTCTGCTATGAATTATGACCCTCCTGCAAATGAAAAGTTCTTTGAAACTTGTATCCAACATCTTACTTCCAACTTGAGTAAGTGCATTAGACAAAAATATTCTGATACCAAATAAATGGGTTGGAAGATATTATTTGTACTGAATAAAAGTGGCATTTTTTTAAGCAAAGTGTCTGCCTACTGGGGTTAAACCACAACAAAGATTCAATGTATGCTTATGTTGGGTTTTCTAGCTTCATTTCACCCTTTAAAAATTATTCTTGATGAGGAACTAGCAAGGTAATTTGAGCGTAGTAAAAAGCAAGTGAAAATTCTGATTAATTTTCAGTGCTGCTACTGGATAGAATTGTGGCATTCCCCAAGGAATCATTATGTGGGGACAGGATATATTTTGTGATTCATCATCAAGAAATGGCTAAGTTGTAGAGGAAACGTGTAAAGATATATTTTTTTTTTTTTGATTGATGATACATCCTCACAGAACTGTGAAAATTTGATGGCTACGGAAATATTGTGGTGTTACCTTTTTTAAGGCTAACTAATTTCCTCCTGCAAGGACCTGGCAAGAGTTACCTTATGCCTTGGTGCAGTTAGCAGAGGTAGTCCTTAATCTGCGTGTGTGTTCATTTAGTACGTTAAGAGAGAAACTTGGATGATTTGGGAGGGCATTGCAAATCCTTTCAACTTTATGACATGTGTTAATATGAATCTCTGTTTGGTTTTTAAAGGTTGTTTTGAAACTCACCACCTGGTGCTGCTTGGTCATGTTTTGGCAGTGGCTGGGTATTTTCCTCCAGTTTTGATAAAGGGAATATTTAATATTTCTTTCCTAAGCAAACTGGATGCGCAACTTGAAGGTAAATACTTAGCTCTATTTTGAATCTGATTATGTAGCATTTGGCATAAAATGAAATTGTGGACCTATTATGACTTGAGAAGTAGAATTACTCTTTAAACAATTCCGTTTTCTGGAAAGACCCCTCTGTATAATCCAGTCACTATTTGCGTGCTAAAAGGGAAGGAATGAACGAAAAATTTGCTTTGTTTTAAAAGTACAGACTTCTACTGCAGATGAGAGAAGCTCATTTAAACCAAATTTTATAGTCAACTTATTGCACTCAGTATTTAATTTAAATAAAATTACCTGAGTGCAGTATTTATTACTAGAAATAGTCACAAAGCTCAAGAAATAATGCGGTATTCTTGTCTGCAAGAAAAGAGTCCCACCAGTCTCTTTTCTCTAAAAGGCTGAGTGTTTGTTTGACTGTTTCCTTCCTCTCTACCAGTATGGTGTTTACTATCAATGTACCGTTGCCATTTTGCCTTCAATCACTTCATTAAAAGACAAATGACAGAAGAGAGTTTAAATTGCTGCTTTCATCTGTCCTGTCATTGTTCTTCATACTGAGCAAAACTGTTATTTTTCATTTTTTCTTCAGGGATTTTGAGAACCTTTCTAAGATTCTGCAGCATGAATTTTATAAGTGCCGTAGTGTACAGATATTTGCATCTCTAGTAAAGAATTCAGAGTTAGCCATTTAGTTCAGTGTGTTTTGTGTTCAGTTCACATCTTTTTATTTTGTTTACTCAGTCCTGCCTGATACCGTAAAGCAGAGGGTCCGCTCCCGCCTCATGAAATTGAACAGAGCAGTCTGTCTGGAATGCCCAGAGTTTCACATCCCTTGGTTTCATGAGCACTACTGCCAGCGTGTCTTCCGTAACAGTAAGTAATTTAGGAGAGGAAAAGCTGCCCTTGTTACTAGTAATAGTCTATTTTCAACAGTCTGCTAGATGCTTCTACTAAAACTGTCATATTGACACTAGCACACAATGGAAGCTCAGAAAGGCGCACCCCATTATCTGCTGAGGATGTGTTCTTGAAAAGTGCAACCGCTTAGCAGTGTGACAGATAGCAAAGCAGTTTTCCCTGTGAGAATTAATGTAAGAGAAGGGATATTTCTACATAAGAAATAAAATTTAAATACACGGAAACAGTGCATATGTCATGGAGGATGGAGAGGCAGGAAGAGGATCATTAGGATTGTCTGCTGGAGGAAGTGAGTCACTTTGATCCCTGCTTCACTTACAAGACTGGACGTTTGACTTAAATTTTTCAAGGGGAGCATTTTTACTGCCTCCTTTTGAACTGATTGCTGTCATCTTCCTCAGAAGAATCAAGATCCATCAAGGATGAGAGGCGGAGAATTAGGATAGTGGTCCAGTGTAGTGGCTGAGATGTTTCAGAATAGGGATCAGTTCAGAAAATCCAGCTGATGCAAACTCAGTATCTCCTCCACTAATTCTCCTGGGGGAGATCTGCTTTGCTGTCCATTGAACTCGGCTGTTTTATCTCTGAGACTGAAGATGTTTAATGGAGCAAGCTATTAAACAGTCTGCAACAGACAGAGAAGTGACAGACAGTGGGGTGTGCCTGTGGTAGATGCAAAATAAGTAAATACTTAAATAACTGTCTAAGCACAATTAAAAACAAACAAAATCCAACAGGCAAAACCTGAAGCTAAAGTGTTTGTGGTATGTCAATGGGAAAAATCCTGGGATGGAAAGTCTGGATGTGAAATTTGTGCTTTATAGGCACCTGCCACTTTCCACCCAAAAGATGATCGCATGGTCTCTGAATTATGATGGAATAATACCAGGGTTCTGTGGAAAAGCTTTAATTCAGTAGGCTGGCTGTCAAAAATACAGTGTCACAAAGTGCTATTTGCAAAACTCTGGCTGTGGCGGTTTTGATGTATGAATTCTTTATTTTGTCTTTGTAGGCAGTAGCCGAAGAAATCCGCTGCGACAGCATGTTCACAGAATGCTGACAGAGATCTTGGGAGGGAGCAATTATGCAAGAATATCTGTTCTCACACCGTACTACTATGAAATAGGTGAGAAGTTAATCCTCTAAGGATTGCTATGGAGACCTCCAACATCACTATTATCACCAAGATTAGGAAGCCCCTGGTCCTGTGGCCACAAGATACTGCAAAGAAGAAATTGCTGTATAAAATACAGTTTCTAAAAAGTTCTGTGTAATATAAGTGATGTTGGGTATCCCTCATTATGGTTATCACTTAGTTTTTTTAGAAGTAAACACTGTACAGATCAAGTTCTTCCACTTTTTATTTTTTCCAGTAAAAAGGTTTGTTGTGTTTTCTCACAGATTTTGAGTGCATTCTGGATGAAAATAAAAAGCCTCTTTCCTATATGGCTCAGAATATACCTTTGGATGATGTGGAGGGAATACACTTGAGACATGACATCAAAGACGAAGGGAGACAGGCTCTGCCACCAGGAGCTCAGAGGTTAGTACATCGATTTCTTGCACATTAGCGCTTCCAAGTCTAGATCAAGTTTAGAACAGGTTTTTGATGCTTATGTCCTAAACAGTTGTCACAACCTCTATTTAGGGGGTTTAGGCTATTTATTTTTTCTGTTCCTTTTTCCAAAGCCTTATAAGGTTTAGCTTTCCTAGGTGTGGTGGGTTGACCCCAGACATCAAGTCATTCACTCACTCCTCTGCAGTGTGATGGGCGAGACAATCTGGAGGGTAAAAGCAAGGAAAAAAACTCCTGGGTTGCAATTAAAACAGTTTAATAAATGAAGAGAAGAAAGAAGAAGGAAAAATAAACAAAAAGGGAAAAGAAAACAATTCATGCAAATGCAGTCACTCACCACCAGCAGACCAATGCTGGAGCAATGACTGCGTTGGGAAAACTCCGCTCATTTTATTGCTGAGCATGATGTTAGATGGTGTGGAATATTGCTTTGGTTAGTTGAGGTTCCAGCTGCGTCCCCTCCTAACCTCTTCAGCCTATACACTCTGGGTGCAGAGTGATAAACAGAGAAGGCTTTGATGCTGTGCAAGCAGTCTTCAGCAAAAGCCAAAATATTGGTGTGTTATCAACACTGTTTTGGTCACAGATCCAAACCACAGCACCATACAGGCTGCTATGAAGAAAAGTAACTCCATCCCAGCCCGACCCAGTTCACTAGGGCAGACAGGGCATGCTTGAAATGTGTTTCATGAGATTGGAACACTGTTTTCCTCCCACTTCTTCAGATGTAAGCCTTGAAAATGCTGCTTAGCTGTTTTTGCCATTTGAACAAAAATAGATGCAGGGAGGAAATGCTTTTTCTAAATCATGTGAAGATCAGGTATCTAGATAAATAGGAAGATGTTTTGTCTAGTTTCAGGTAGTTTAATTTTGTTTTTCTATGAATTGTTAGGTTTATCTAATTGTCTTGATGCAGCTGTCAATACTGAACTAGAAATACCACTTCTTGCTATTCAGATACAACCTGAAAGTAAACGTACATTTTTATTGTTTGCAGAATTGCTTTGGAATTTCTTGATTCAAAAGCTTTTAGCAAAAATTCACGTCACCCGAAAGGAGAAACTGCACTGAAAAAACGACACCTGGAAATGCTGGGGTACCGGGTAGTTCAGGTGAGCAGTCAGCAGTATTTTACGTCCTTTCTGAGGTGTATCCATAGTGCAGATCGATAGATTTCCTTGCAACAGATTTAAAGACAGTTTAATAGTTAAAATGCACCTGCTGGATGGGAGCAATTTTTTTATTTAGGGGGGAAATTCCAAGCTGTTCTCAAGATAGTGTAAGGACTTCATAGAACTTGTACCTTCTCGGAAAGTGACTGCAGCAAAACTGAAGTAAAAAGGTCTCAGTCTTACCTTACAGCAGGCAAACTAGCAATCTCGACATAGCCTGAGTAGAGGAGAAAAGGTGAAACAAGAGTTTCAGTTCAATTCACCCAAGCTTTCTACACTAGAAAAAGATTGAACGTACCCTCCTTGAGCGACAGGGAGACAGTTAGGGCAGCTGCAAGATGGGATATGGATGCTGTCTGTCTGCTGCAGTGATAGTGCTGTGACAGGGAAGACTAGTGGCCAGAGATAACTCACAGCCACCAGCACAGAAACATTTGGTTAATGGAGGCTCATGAATGCAGATTCTCCTGCATATATAATTACTCACCTACTCTAATTTTAGCTAGAATCTCTCTTTAAGCTTGTTTGTTTTTTTTCTTAACAGCATAAACATAATTTCTCATTTTGCCCTGACAGTAAACGTTATGCTACTGATACACCATTCCAGTTTGATACATTAACATTGCAAACTATAGTGACCTGGGATTTTTCTCTCAATTTGGGCTTCAAAAGGTGGGAGATGGTGTAACGGAGTTGTAATAGCCTGTATCACGTGGGCATCTGCTTTACATCTCTGCAACTATGCTGCTTTTTGGAAGCAAACTTACTGTACTTACACAAAGAAGAGTCTCACATTGAGAAATTAATCTTTTCAGTACTAGAGTAAGCCTAGCTTTTAGAAGGACACAGGTGATAGAATATCTTCAAGTGGAGAACAACAGCTATCAGAGAGCATTTTCTTTGCTGTAAGATGGTATGTGGTGTATACCAGACAATGTTAACACTCGGTTTGTATGATTCTGTTCTACAGATTCCTCATTTCGAATGGAATTCTATGGTTCTGTCAACAAAAGGTGAACAACTAGCATATCTGAGGAAGCATCTGTATGGAATACAGTGATGTCAGACATGTAGTCCAAAGTATTTTTTATACAAACACTTCATGTACCATTAAACTTGTAATGCTGGAATACCTACTTTCACAAACCTCTTTGTCTGTGAGTCAGCTGGAACCAAGGCTTCCCATGGGGCATCACGTGACAAGAGATTTAATCCTGTTTGTTAGGGATTGCAAAAGGCAGGTCACACACAATGGGCCATGAAGGATGTGATAAGGATGCTTACAGTCTCCCATAATCTGGAAGCTGTTCTTTAAGTATATGAGTCTGCTACAGTTTTGCCATTAAATTATGTTATTATCTCTTAAATAAAACACAGAGACTTAGCCAAGTATAAAACCATCCAGAGAAAAAGTTGGAAGTACTCTTGACTGTGAGAGGAGGCAGCAGATCTACTGGAAACTATCTCTGTCCTCTGGCATGTGACAGAATGAGCAATAGGGATCAAACAGTGTCTGTACTGTGAAACGAAGAAACTGAAATGCAGATTTACTAAGAATAGGACTGCTGTTACAGCCATTCTGTTTCCGTCTTCCAGAACAGAGGTACTGTGGGTGACTGTGTTGGGGGAGGGTGTTGTGCGGTGAGCAACCTCCAGCTGCTTCTCCTACCCTGTGATGTGGTGTGTGCAGAAATATGGCGTAAGCTGCCTGGAAACACCTTCACATACTTAAAAGATAGACTAGTTCTAAAGGTCTGGCAGCCACCCAGACCCTTGAAATAGCTGTACTCCGCTCAATGCAACTTGGAAGGGATACCTGAAATATTTATAGAAAATTAGAAGAAAATAATGCTTTATGTCAGACATAGGCACTTACTAGCAACTGGGTAAGTCATAAAATGTATTAATTACAGCATTATACATTGGACTAGCCCTCGTCAATAGAAATAAAACTACACAAACCATCCAACCTGCCTGTTCTGTAAATAAGACAGCGTACAAAAGAGCAAAATTAGGCTGAAAATTGAAACCAAGAATTAGGACCAAGAAAAGCCTTTAGAGAGTGACAACCACCTTGGTTACTGGTGGTGAAAAACATTGCTGGTTTATTTGTCATGTTTCAAAACCATCTGCCAGTTACCAGGCTTCCTGTGATAGCGCTCGGCCAGGCTTTGCGTCAGGAGGCATAACATACTGAGATGGAGAAGGAAAAAGTGGAACAGCCAGGAGAACATTCATTGTAGAGTAGTAAACTATAGAGTGGTCAAGCTTCTGCAAATCAGCCCATTTTCAGAAGCAGCCGTGTGGTGACTACAGCTGCCATCATTGCCTCATGACAACTGCTGGCTGTGCCCATCTCTTTCATACACATACTGTGTGTATGTTTTCTTGCCTTCTTAGTAGAAGCAATAGATGTTCTTTTTACCACTTCCTTTGAAACCTGGCAGTGGTAAGCAGCTGCATTTCTTAATTGATGGTTATGCACCTGGCTGACACTTGGGCTTTTTTTACTACTTAATAGTAGAAGAAAATATGTTTATTGACTGAATGCAACTCAGGACACTAGTAAAAAGCCAGGAAAAAATGACATAACTGATCTAAGTTGCAAGGTGGTCTCCTCCTGAGGCAGCCCTCATGTTTGTGGGATGATTGAAAAAAATAGTAAATGGTCATCTGCTTATGGTATCAAACAGACAAGGGCTCCAAGACATGGAAGACAAGTGCTTTGAGGCAATGTTACTGAAGGCACAGCACACAGAAAAACTACCTGCACATTGTATTTTGTGTAAAATGGAGAAGACAATCATAAATACAGGTTAGGAGCTCAAGAATCTGGGCTACAAGTCAGAGGGCTCTGGCATGACTCTGCTTCTGTACAGATGCCCTTCAAGTAACAACCTCAGAGCGGACAAAAGTTGACAGTGGCTGTAGCTGAAGTGATCATGGAAGGTGACGTGTTTGTGCTGAACCCCACTTTTCAGGTATCCGGCAGTCACTCTCTGCCAAGCCAGGTATGTTCAAATTGTTTGTGGTTAAAATGATGAGTACTCACAATGGGGACAGGATTAAAACTTGCTATAAGCAGATTCAGAAAGGACATCTAAGAAAAGCAAAATATAAAGAGTATTTCAGTAAAATGTGCTGCTTTTGATCCTTTGCAGTCATTCTTCCTAAATAAAAACAGCAAGTGTTAGAGCAGATGGGCTGCTGTAAACCAGTGATTTAACTGGAGCCAATGAAAAGATGCTAAAAACAGCTGAAGATTTGGGTATGAAAGGGGAAAACAGAAAAGATGTCCCACCGATTAAGTACCGGTGTACAGTAACATACTGAAATGAGTGACAACGGCTGTGCCCTTGCCATCGTATGTTTCCCTCTGTCCCCTAGGAAGGAGATGCAAGGGGTCATTGTCATTTGATAGTTGGAATTGCTGTTCAATTGGGTGTGGGGGGCTGCTTTTCCAGTTTTCCTGCTACATCAGTTGTAATTAGATTTATGACATCCTTTAGATTTATGACACCCTCTTTATTCAATGGAGAAATCCTTTGAAGAGATAATCTATGAAAATGGTGGGCGTGCTCTGCTTTAAGAAAACCGAGTGCTCTGTTTTGGGCAAATGCTGTACTAAGGAATCTGTGTCCTGCCAATATGACAGTGATGATGAACTGATTATTAAAAGAGATACCATCAAGTGATACTTTTATAATTTTAAAAACAAAGTTTAATTGTTAAAAGTTTCAACATCAAAATGCATCAACTCCATATTAGGTGGAAAAGTCCTCTGTGCCGTAGGTCTTTGCTGATGATCAGTTATACTAGGACTTTTTCATGAATGCTTATTAATGGTCTCAGATCTCTGAGAAAAACTTCCATAAAATATTTGCTTTGGAAATAAATATAAAAGCATTAAAAAAAAGTGGAAAATCCTTGTAACCAGAAGCTTAAACACAGTAGGTGAAACAGTAGAGCTATTAACCTTCTCTCTCTTTCCTCATGTCTGGCTATTAGTACAGCTTTAGCTGAGGTTGGCATTTCTTAGGCCGTGTAGCATTAGGCTGCTTTTGTTTTTAATATGCACTTTGATTCCAGGCTAAATTATTTGTAAAAGGCTCTAATGGAAAATATTTTCAAGATATGGCTGAAGAATGCAGGATTGCTGAAGGGGGAAATCAGGCTATACAAACAGCCAATTAGAATAATAGCCAGTTATATATATATAAAACTAGCCAGTTAGCTACCTACTAGTTGTATTTAACTTAATAATTTATGGGCATCGTTCGGAGGATAAGCCACCAATATCCTGGGTTTTCTGAGTCTAAGGAAGCCTAACTAGTTTTATTGGCAATTTCACAAAGTGAAAAATGGAGTTATCTCTGAAATCTTCATTTATTCTAATCGATGTTAATTAGAATTCGTCAGGACTTTACACATGGGCAAAAATCCTGTTGTTGACTAGCCAGTAAATATCTTAAGACTTGGACAGACAGATGAACTGGTTAACAGTTAACAGTATAACTAGTACGCTGCTGCAAAACTCTGTACAATTTGGGGACACTTTCATGCAACAAAACCAGAAGAGCCTATCGGAACTCCCTCACCATAGCACGTTTTCCAGCATTTTGTTTACAGTTTTGATAACTTGAAGAGGTTTAAGCGTGTAGCCAGGCAGGAGGCTCCAGTAGCATATCGGATCTCTTTCAGTATGCCAATCCATTCCTTCTTTTCATCATCATACCTGCATTGAACAAAATCAGGTCAGAACATAGCTTCCTAAATTTTGAGTTTGATGCTTCATCACACAGACATGAAAAGGAGGACAGGCCACACGTTGCAAAGGCTTGTGGCAACCATGTGCTGAAGGGTGCCAAAATAGGCTGCTTTTATCCTCTAGACAGAACAGAAGGATGTTCTTGCATGTGAGTTGCCCTTTTCCTAGTCCCTAAAGCTTGTTGCTGGCCTCTGTCATACTTTAATTATATAATATATAAAAATATAAAAGCTTCCTCCTTGTCTTAAGTATACCTTCTGAATTCCTCAGATTCTTACATATAAAGGTGTTTTTTTCTGGGAATCCTTCCTGTCGTTCTGCCAGTTAAAACTCCTGAATTTACCTTAGCAACTGAAGAGTCACAGCAGAGATGTGATGTTTCATCACTGCTACTGTGATTTAGATTTACAAAAATCTAGAAGGCAGGGATTTCTGGTTCTCTTGGAACAATTACTCATTTGTCTATTAACGCGTACGAGTATGTGCAGACCTCTGTGTACGCAGGCTTTTCTGTGTAAGAATGTCACGAAACAGAGGATGGTTTTATGGTACACTTACACAGCTAAACCTGCCAAGAGATACAGCAACTTACTCTTTGTTTACTTTACTTTTCTTACTCTGAAGATCATGACTCAGACTGTTCAAATTATTAGTAGGTGGAAGTAGTCATTAGATCCAAATCTCATGTTTATTTGTTATTTTTTGACAAACATTTCTATCTGTCAGCAAGTGCTTTACAACCTGTGCTACGGTTCATTTCCAGAGCTAAACAGAAAACTAATTTTACCCTCCAGTGTCTACAAACCTCAATTTTAGATATGGCTTTCCAGCAGGAAAGCGTGATTAAAATTAAACTTACTTCCATATGTCAGTGACTTCACTGGGTGCAAATTCTTTAGATTCAAGCTGAATCATTGCAAAGCCTCCAATAGCATACAAAGCTCCACTTAAGGTGACTAAACTGATAGAACTTCTCTCTTGGGGAAATTCAGGCATAATCTCCCACCTAAAGATGAAAAGAAAAATGTAAGTTAAACAAACACATGAGAAATATTCTAAACCAAATGCACTAAAATATAGCTCTGGGTGACATAAATCCAGGTACCAAGGACTGCTTGAGTGAATGGTTTAGTAAAAGGAAAAAATTCTGAGATTTGTCAGCAATGAGTTTCAGTGTCTATCCCCACAAGGACTTCCTGCAAGTCTTAAGTGACAGCGTTACACCATGATGACATCTCTTCCCAGAGACCACTTCTTACAGGTCGCCTGGTGCCATCATCGGTAATATGCTATATACAGATGTATTGCTCCCCAGCTTCTTCATTATTTCCCTATAATTTCCAAAATCCGTATTCATTTCAAGTGGCACTGACTGGTTTGGGTGGCCTGGCCACTGAAACACCAATGCTCCTCCCCACAGGTGCGATCCCTAAATAATAATTTCTGTTAAAAAAAAGTCACTGGAGCTTGGTAGCATAATTTCAAATTTTCTGCCTATTCACACCTATGAACATATAAAACATAGAGACATCCCACTTCTGGCTAATGTCAGCATCAAAACTAATAGACTAATTTGTGTCTCTCGCTTTTGTGACTTGATTGTAACAAAACAGAGTAAACCAAGACAAGAACCAGCCGACTTTTCAGACCACAAGCTGGACCTGTTTCTGAACAATGGAAAAGAAGAATGTGCCAAACATGGTAACAAAATGACCTTTACCTTCCTTTGCTTTCTATAGAAGGTGGAAGGTCCAGAGCTCCCTCATAGAATTACTTCTTGCATAATTCACACTTTGTATTGTTAAATTTTATAAGCAAGTCTCTTTGGGATCGCCTACATTTAAAATAAAGATGTTGTTGCAGGTTGATGGCTGCAATACCACCTGTCAGTGAAGACAGCACAGCCAAATGTGTTTATATACAGTAGAAAAGCGCATTATTAAAATAAAGCTTTACTGATATTATTTTAAATGAAAGTTTATAAATAAGATGATAGGAAGGAAAAGTAACAAAAAGGAAAATTAAGAGTAGAAAGACACAGGGTATAAACTCCAGGAAAACCATAAACGTTTGGGTTTCTGGCTGTGAGAAAGAACATTGGAAAGTATCTGGACCGAATAAGTAAGCTAATTCTAAGTACGACTTACTCTCTTTTGTCATTACTTTTCCTTTCTAGTATTTTAGAGCACTAACTCGTAGTAAATGGCATTTGCCGTGACCAGGTAAGTGAACAGCAAGACATCACAAGACCCAGTACCCAAAGGTCATTCAGCTGGTTCTGTTCAGACACATGATTTCTCTCACTGGGGTTTTGTGTTTAGTGCCAGTGCTGCTTCAACTACATTGTGTGGCCCTTGCCTATCTCTCCCACTTCTCCCCGATTATGCCAGCACAACTGTTACGTGGCTGTGTGGTCAACTAAATTGGGAAAGTAATCAGACTTAAAAAAAAAAAGATTAGATGGTGGGTTATTTTCACTACACGAGCTCTTTGATCATGTTTGCAATGGAGCCGTGCCAGCATAGAAAATGTGTGTGGGGGCAGGAAAACATGGCCAGAGTTACAGGCTCTTTAAGCTGCTGCTCCTGTTGTTGCTGAAGATGCAAATGTAGACCAAGTGTCTCAGTGGGAGTATAAGTACCTGAACACCTTTGCGACTTCTCTCGGAGCTCCTGAAAGCCTAAATGATAAAACACTTGCTTAAAAATAGCTTGAATATTGCACTCACTTATTGGTGGTCAGATCAAAAGCTTCAACAGATGCAGTAAGGCCTTCTTCAGTGACACCACCTGCAATGACAATCTTGCCCTTATGGATAGCCGTCCCAAACATCGAGCGAGCCACCTTCATTGGAGCCAGGTCTCTCCAGTCTCCCTTCTTAGGATTGTATACAAATAGTCTATTAGTGCATTTCCTGGGGAGAAAAAAGAAAACTTGTGATTATTTCTAATGAACTTTTTGGCTTGTTCCAACCGGGACCTAGTTGAGGTGGACTGTGTGGGTTTATGTTTCCTCTCCATGAGATCCTCTCTTGTATCTAAACTGAGAATCTTTGTACGTCTACAAAGCACTAATCACATCCATAGAACTAAATCCAATGTTAAATGCTACTTAGCCAGGGCAGCAATTTCATGGTACCTTACAGGAGAACGATGACATCCTTTCCCAGCATATTCTATTCAGATGGGTTTGTGGAGGAATGTATGACAAAGGTTATAAAAGAAAGATTATGCTGCTGGTTTTTGGCTGATTTGACAAGCTTGTATCTTAAATGCCCCCTATTCAAACACTGAAAAATTACCACCATATGCTCAGTGTGAGTGAAAACTTTGATTTTCCTAATGTTATACCCATTAAGGTGTAACAGGCATCACAGGTCAGAAAACTTGAAAAACTGACACACTAATTCCACGGCACCTGGAATGAAATCTGGAATTTCTATCTGGAATTAAGTAATACTTTCAGTGAGGGTCCTCATAGCTATATATTACTACCGTGCCTGCAATGTAAGTAAAATTTGCCTTGGAAATAAGTACAGCCATTAAAATAACTAGTTGGGGTTTACCTTAACTTGAAAAAGATATGCTATATACCATAACGTGTTCCCCTCTGCCAAATTGTTAGCAACCTTAATCCAGAGATGTAAAAAAAGGAAACCCTGGTTTCTGAGTGTGAGAACATATACTCTATAAAGGACCGATCAAATAATGCTATAAATTGTCATGAAAAGACTTAAAGACTCACTTATCATCAGTTTTTCCACCAAGACAATATATCAATCCATTGTTTGAGATAGTAGCATGGCCATATACTTTGATGGGTAGTTTTTTGATCTCGCCCCATTTCATTGCCCTGGAACAAGAATATCACCGTTAGGCTCTGTCAACTAACAATGGGCTATTTACGTGTCCTCAGTGGGCATAATTAAATTTTAAACATACACAGGATCATAGCACAATACTGAATCTAGAGACTCCTCAGTGCGAAGGTCCTTGCCTGCAATTACATAGATCTTGTTGTCTGACTCTCCCAGCCCGAAGAGACACCTGGCTGACGGCAGTGGAGGAAGGGCAACCCACTCACCAGCGATGCTATCCAGCTGCAAGGGCATCAGAAGAAGAAGTGTTAGGAAAGGCAAATAGTAAAAATCCACACAAAGAACACAGTTCCACAAAATCAATCTAATTACAATCAGTGTCTCTCAATAGCTCATCGGCTTGCCTGAACAGCCTACCTTTCCCTCAGTGCAGCTAATGAATGACGACTTCTACCCACCCGTTCTTCGTGGTGCCGAGTCCCAGCAGAGTCAATGCCACACAGCTCTCTTTGCGTCTGCTCACCTTCACTCATCCTCATGGAGTTTCTTTGCCTCTTTAGGAAGCTCTTCCTTGTTTAAAAGTCCCTCACTCTCTCGGTTCCCTATCACATGGTGGAAAGAACAAGTTGTTCTTCCTGCCCGAAGGGAGCAGACACTTCTGCCATTCCATGCCTATACATTTGGCCAGTTGTGCTCATCGCTACAATGAGAGATGCCAGACAACCTCACACCGTTCCTCTTAATGATCATGAAATATTACACAGCGAATGGCACAAATGTTTCTTCTGCAATTCTGAGAGCAAAAGAGGTGGTGTTTCATCACAAACACCCTCAAAAGCTCCTGACATCTCTAAAGGCACAATGAATATAAAGACTTCACTGCTAAGCAAAAAAGGCAGATGGTGCAGCTCCACTGGCAACAAGACTGATGTCATCCCTACTGAAGTACTCCTACGGCCGTCTCAGTTCACATCCAGTAGGCTGAAAACACCTAAGGAGAAGCAGCAGGAGGACAGAAGAAAAAAACAAAACAAAACAGTATTTTCCTGGAACTGTGGTGCTTAATTTTTGTTTTCATCTGAGAACTTACAATTGAACCAGAATGCTGTCTAACATTCAAAAAGAGTATTTTCTCTCTTCTATCACATACTGATTTGCTTCACAATGTACAGAAAGGGAAGGTAAAATGTGAGTTTGCATGAGGGTAAAGACATTTGATAGAAAGCAAGAGAAAGTTCAGTCAAAGTAATCAGATCTGGGTTTAGCTCACTGACATCCTTTTTCTAGAAGTATGTTCCACAGTCAAGGTCTCCATGCTAAAATGCATTTCCCAAATTTGATAGGCCACCCCTATTGGACAGGAAGTTTTACTGCAACAGTGAGATTTAGTTCATGGACACGGATTGCCCCAGCAGGTGGATCTGGGTGGTGTAATGCGGAGAAGATGTACCCATCGCAGATCACAGCATGCTTAGTGAATCAGTCTTGGAGATGACATATCTACTCATGATAGGGCAAAAACTAGTCATGCATTTTTGAGCTCATGGCAGCCTTGTTTTCTCCTGAGTTGCTAGCTACCAAATAAAACGGTAACAGGTGCTTCACTGGTGGAGAAAGGGAGATCAGTAAGTGAAAATCGTTTTGGCACCATGTTAACATTTTAGAGGGAACAACAGCCACATGGGTCATGCAGACAAGTATTTGAACTATAGGCAGTAGCAGCAGCAAGCAAGCTTACAGATGACAAGTGAGAGGATATAGACATATAAAGGAGGATTCTGAAAACTTCATCAATTTTTCATATCAGTCGTGAGGTTTAGCTTTTCAGAGGCCCCTTTCTAGTAGACCAAGACTTCTGGATTATATACATTATGACACTAACACAGTATTTTTATTAGAAGAATATTTCTGTAACCAGTTTTGCACTTCAGTGATTAGTGTTTCACACCTTGCATAAGGAAACGAAGTAGTGCTAATCCCTCTCTAGCAAACTAAGATTTTCCTCTCATAGATGTAACAAATGCCTGAAACCAACTCTTTCATTGTGAAATCACAGTGAGCCATACTCCTATAAACACTTAGTATTTGCATTTTTTCATATCTGAAGTCTTTAAAGTTCTATCACTGCTTATCACTCTGCTTTATTTCATATGGAAACAGGACCTACTTTCACTCTTTTAGGCCGATGCGCCTAAAGGCAGGACATGGCCAGCAGCATATTGCAGAATTCATCATGAGGTAGTTTAAATATCCCCCAAAACACATAGTCAGGTAGCTAAAAACACAACGGAATTAATTTATGGTGTAAGCATGCCAAATTGTATTTTTGCTAATTTTTCTGAAATATGTTGTGGAAGTTACAGTTTGTATTAATCAGCCTTATATTTATACAGATTTACAAGGATATAAAATTACACTCCTGGTTGAAACACGGTATTTAGTGTACTGACATTGACAGTTTGCCAAGAAAACAAACTTCTACCTCTAAATTACGTATTTTAGAGTGCCCTTAGGTTTTCAAATGTAGATGTGACAAAAGAACTTCTGGAATTTTAGCGACAGAAGTGGCATTTAAAATATGCACATTACCGCTGTCATAAAAGTATTTCAGATACAGAAAAAGAAAGACATCTCCTGAGATCTAAAGCAGCTAAGCACTCAACTTTCAAGGAAGTTAACAGAAATTCACAAAAGGTATTCTACAAAACACATTAGGCTTAAATTCAGGCATCTGTACCATGAAAAATCTGGGAATCTGGGCCTTAAGCAATGAAAGCCAGTGCCTAGATACAATATACTAATCCTTTTAATCTTTTCTGAGATCTCTCCGGGGGCTTGATCTTGAAAGAGAAGATACAAGTCCCTTGGTTTCATTTATCTCTCAGAGACAGGAATAGCTCTCTACAGACGCTTCTCTTCATCGACTGTACAGAGACTAGACAACTCACTTGCATGGACTCAGAATACTTTTCAGTAACTTTTATAAGCACCTATTGTTGCACCAACAATTATAAAGCTTATACCTGGAAGAAGTATGACTGGAACGGCTGATCCTTGTTCTCCTCTTCCACATACAGCCCTCCAACGATGTAGACCTGATTTTGTTTGGTGACTATACTGGAATGATTTCTGGGAATCTGTTCTGCCAGGGCTGCTAGGTAGCATTCGTTTTCAAGAGGATCGTAAGCTACTGCAGCAGTGTCATTAACCAGAAGAATTAGGTCTTTGACAAACATGCCGTGCCTGGGAAGGTCATTTAGATAGCCAGGCAGTAAATCTTCGTCTCCTACATCACCATTTACCTCCCCTTTGGTGGACTTTTCTGTACTTTTGCTAGAGTCAGGCAGTTTTCCCGCAAAAGCATCCTTAATGATCTTTACTTTTTTCTGAAGGTCTGAGTTGCTTTTAATTATATCATCCTTCTCAACTTGTTCTTTGAAATATTTTTCTGGCATAAGACGAAAACGTATGCAGTCAAAGATCTCCCCCAGGCTCTTTACTCTGTTCTCCTTGTCTGTTCGGACCCATCTCATTACTGCTTCAAATACCAGTTCTTCCTTCTCTACGTTTAAGCTGTCAGGTGAAATAACTGAGATAAGTTCATGCGGGGCAAGCTGCATGAAGTCCTCTTCTTTGCAGATCTGCACAAAATGATCTGAAACAAAATCACGGGCAGAAAACGCAAGTCTCGGGCAGTCAAGCAGAACGCCTAATCGAAGGATGGCCAGACAGTTACCAACAGCAAGCCTCTTCTGAAGATAGGAGACGCACACAGTGAATACAGAAGGGATCTGAAAGCGACTGGCCAAAGCAAAAATATCTTGCACGTTAGAATCATTAAGATCAATACTTGCTGAGTAAAGGTATTTGACAATCATATCCAGGATGTTGGGGTCAACGTTGTCTAGAACTACCTCCTTCTTTTTCTCTTCATTTTGCTCAGATAAGAAATACTCACGAAAATAAGGGCTACATGCCGACAGAATCAATCTGTGGCAAGGCAGGCTTCTGTCACCAGCTTTTAGAGAGCAATCTACAAACTTTTTCTCTTCAAGGAGTTCCTTGAGGCCATCCTGAAGAAGGGTGGATTGGTAAAGTCTGAGCTCTTCAGTGAGTTCCCTTTGGGAATCCATTTCGCAAATACTTGGGAAAGGGGAGGGAGCAGAAAGCTTTAGCTGTTGTCTGCCCAAAGGTCTCCCTGTAAAAAAGGCAGACCAATGTGCTTTGCCCTGCCTGAAGCCTCTGACACTTAATCTCGCTAGCTAAATATAGGTACATACTCTTACAGGTCGGAATTTAGGATGGATGGTTTGGAAAAAAAAAGAGTTGCTCTCGCAGCTGTCAAAGACTGAAAGAAGCAACTGTTGCTTTTGGTCACTGTGGTCAGGTTTTGCCATCATTCTCCACATTGAATCAACGAGATTACGTGCAGTTTAAGAAATTATTTGACATGAGTAAGGACAGCAGAATCTGACCCTCAGTGAGAGAGCTATGAGCAAGATTGCAAATATACATGTTACCAAATATTCTGAAATAGAAATATTATTAATCAAGCTGCCAGCCGCAATTTCAGAGTTGCTCAATACATCTCATTGCTGCAGTCACAAAGATATTAAAAAACTCCAGAACTCTGCATCAGTTATCTATGCTCTAAGATTATTTTTTTACGTGTCCATATCACATCTACAATTTCTTCAGATATTGATAATAAGGCTTTGAAATTCATTTTGAGCTTCTTCTTAATATCCACTTGGTTGTATTTATTTGTCAACAAAACCCTACTGTTCAGACATAAAATATAGATTATTCAGGTAAAATTCTGCTTTCAAAAATAATTTAAAATTAAGTCTCCAACCCCCCCTTAATAAACACCATTCCTCATTTCAGATAATCTGTAGACATTATCAATCCTTTTAAATTCCACTGTGCTAGAAATGGTGTTAACTGCTGTTAAACTAAACCAAAACCAGTACATAGGAAAGGTAGAACAGAGAATGAAAAACATGTAATCCACCATATTAACATTATTTAATGGATGTGTAATTTAAAAAACCTTAAAAAAGAATCTGAATTTAAACTAAAAAAGCCCCAAATCAGACAAGTAGTTTGAAAAGCTAATGTGAATTTAGAAAAAATATGCACATGTTGAAGGTTTCACAACTGAGACTGGGAACATTTAGATTTTTATTAAAGGTGGTAATATCGCCAAACAAATTTGAAATTTTAAGTTGTACCTTGATGAAAGACAGTATTTTGCCCATATAGAGAATGCTTTTCAGCCATATGGTAAAATGTTCTTTGAATGTAATGTAAACAGGATGCAATTATTTGAATGCAAGATCTACAAAGAGGTGTAACATTATCAAAGTTTATTGAAATCGTGATTGATTTCCAATATAGGTAGTATTTCATTAAAATATATACTTTGAAAGATTTTCTACAAACACCACAATTATAGTCACACCACAGTTACTTTACTGTAACAGTCAACTGCTAAAACAACAGCTGATAGGAGATCTCATTTGACTTTTTCCACTTATAGAAAATAGCGCAGAGGTCTTATGTCACTAGAAAACGTAACAGCTGCATCTTCCTTTGAACAATAAATGACTCATTTCTCTCTAACACATAACATCATAAAGGTCTAATGACTCAGACAGAGAATCTATTTGTGTGCGCTTTTTTCTAGATCACTCCTTGAAAAAGTACTCTAGCCAAAAAAAACCAACCACAAAACCCCAAACAAAATGCACAAAAATTGTATGGGAATATCTGGATTACAATAAAGTACCTGGAATGATATGTGCTGAACATTTAAGAAAATTAGGAGACATGAAAACAGTATTGCTTTTTGTCAAAGTTATCAGTAACAGCACTGCTGCAAAGACACAGCCAATAAGCCTCTATACAAAATGTCCTGCACACGATGATATTTCTGTGTTGCACAACATTGAACAAGTTATGGAAATTTGATTTAGGTATCATTATGGGAAAGTACATCACTGTGTATAAATACGTTAATACACTGAGCATCAGACTGCGTAACTCACACTGCCCTACCTCAAATAGTGCTTTCTGTGTACGTACAAAGAGGAAGTTTCCTTTTCTGACATACTTCCAGGTAAAATGGCAGGCGGTGGCTGGTCCTGGCAGCCAATCACAGGGCAGTATGTAAACACATGGGTCATGAAGTCGTAAAAAAAGTGGTGGCTACCTGCCATAAAACGGTGGCTGAAACACCACGGCAGACCCTGTGTTGTTGGGTGGGGGCTTCCTGCTCTGACAGCCTTCTGGGGGAAGCAGGATGGGGTGGCTGGTCCCACCAATCACACGCCTGAAAACACCTGGGGTACCAGAGTGTCAAACCCAGTGTCAGCCAATCACAAAGCAGTATGAAAACATGTGGAGTATGACATTTTACATGGCAACTGAAGTAAAATGGCAGCTGTCACGCACGTCCTGCGGAGGGACTTCCAGGTCCTTACAACCTGACAGCAAGAGGACAAGGACCTCTCTGGTCCTTAGACCATGTGACCGGAGGATGGGCGGGACTTCTGGGGCTCGTGGGACATGTGACTGCCTGCAGGGGGCGGGGCTTCCACCAGCAGCTGCGGCCCCGCCCCCTCTTATCTTAGATACTGGTTGTCCTCCCACTACTTCCAGAACCAGTGTAATAAATAAAAAGCTTTTACACATACCTGGGTTTTGAATAATCTTTCCTTTATGACATATCCCGAGGGCGTATTATCTAATATTCGCCTGCTCTTTAGCTTTGCCATGTTCTTTGTCCGCTACTCTGGTATTTCTAAATTAACTTCTACAGGTCTCACGAGCCCAGTAAGAACTGGAAGTCTTTTCTTGCCCAGGAAACAAATGCGTGCCGATCTAAATCAGGTCATTACTTCCCAGAGTCCCTGGAGAGTGAATCCGTCCTTTAGCTTCTCTATTGCAAGTCCCAGTTCTTCTGAAAAAACAGGCTCCCCATCATGTTGCTTTTTTGAATACAGAGATATGAGAGAAAATAAAATAAAGCAGAAGGTACTTTTTAATTTTATTATCCCATTTTAAACACATTAATTTGATAGTATGAAAAAAGATGTTCTTACCTTGTTTTCATCTGCAAAGTAAGCCTGCAAAAAAAAAAAAAAAAACGAAAAAAGAACTTACAATCTTGAATAAAAAAATCTAAAACCAAATCTGCTAATAATTCCTTGGAGTCAAAACTTTATTTGTTAAGTTTTCTTCCACAAACCAGTCTGCATGAATTTTATTTTCATTTTGTAAATAAGATCAGAGTTTTTTCTTTGTTGAATAATTTACAAAAGGGATTTAACAAGAGTTGGTGATTATGTTATTTTTCATTAAATACCAATCTTCGAATTTTCCATCATATTAAACAAAGATTTTTAAATGGTAACATTTTCATATTACATTTGTTATGCTGACAAATACTTTATAGGGAATAAAATGTTAATATGAAGGCAAACTGACAGCATCCTAGCATTTACTGCCTCATGAGCAGTAGTATTTATTATTCAATTTCAAAAACTACCTTAAAATGTATAAGTAATATCAAAATTCAGTTAACATCACACTCAATCTAAGAAATTAACACAGTGTAACCGAACAATTAACTAAATTTTTCTACTCTCAGACGGAGATCTGGGAAAGAGATACGATCCTTTCCATTCTGTTTGTTTGGAAATTCAGGCTCAAACTCTTCAGGTAATCAGATGAAAATACCCACAGCTCCAGAAATCTCTGGACCAGCAGGCTCTAGATCTCTGTATTTACCAAAAAGAGCCTGATCTTGCTTCAGCTGCCCCTATGGACTGGGAAGGGGCAGCAAAGAAAGCGTTTTCCTGCTCAGCTGGATCTCAAGCTATACAGGACTACGGAACAGCATCTCAGTCATGAAGTGTCATGGAATACTGGTGTGGAACCACCCCTTGGGACCTGGATGATCTATGTCTCCTATTGCAACCACCTTCTAATCATTTACAGCTTCCAATTTTTGTTATAGAATATGCAAAGCACAGTTATTGAACCAGGTGACAAAGGCACCAATACAGCAAACAGAATCTACCTTTAAGGAAAAGGTAGGTTTTCAACTATGTTGAAGACTGAATAAAAATGCGCAAAAATGAAAAGAAAAAAAGGCAAAAAGCGAGGAAAAAGGAGGGAAAGGAAGAGATAAGAGCTTATCTACACCAGTAAATGATAGCAAAAGAAAAGAAGGTGGAAATAAGATTGGTGCTAGCACTGCTACTTTACCAAATCTCAGAGATTAATTAAGAAAACATGTCAATTGTCAATATGTCAAGGCTAGCACTTGGAAACACGTGCAGTCCACCTGTGCAGTCAGTCATGCAGTCAGGTGTTGTTGGGTTACACAGTAAATTTGGAAATTCCTAGAAAGAAGGTCATCAAGCAACCTAATGCATTTAAAAGTCAATTTTCCTGAAATACTGGGAGACAGATACCAATACAGTTTTCTAAACTGGTATTGTCAGGAGTGCAAAGGCTGTCAGGGGCGACTCAAAATTATGACTGCCTTTCTAAAAATCTTTCAAGTTTGAATCTTAGAGGAATGTTGAGTGTACAGATATCACCATCTATTAATCTGCTCCAAGAGGAGCAAGACTTGTTTAAGTATAATGTACTTGATTACATTGTACTGCTAGTTTTCAAGCTATTCCTGATCTTAGTGTGTTGAGAAACTACATACAACTATTACTTTAAATATCTACTACTATTTATTTCGATTAATAGTTTGTTCTTAAGTTAAAAATCCATACACAGAATAAATTCCTGTAGTAATCAGGATTTTGAATAAAAGGCGTGTAGGCATGTTTTTAAAATATAGAAAGTTCAGTTATAGTTTATCTTTAAGAGAGGATTACAGCTGTACATTGCTTACATTTGAATAACCAAACAAGAATTATTCTATTTTTCAGTTTCCTGTGGAGCAGCTTACCACAAAAGCATCTGTATGTTCATCGGATTCTATTTCCACATCATCTTGAACCTGCTCCACTGTTAGGTCTTCAAGAGGTTGAGGCTGCAAATTAAAATGCTGAAGTAAGTAAATCCACATATCTAATATGTTTAATACATTTTTATTACTGCTGTTAACACAATGTTGTATCTAATTTAAAATAAATGAGTGGAGTACCTTTTCTTCCATTTCATAATCCACGCCAAATATAGGGTTAGCTGAATAAACTCTGTGAAGTGAATTAATTTCTTTCACTGCCTCCTGTAGTTTCTCCACAGGGTCTACTTTAAAACCAAGCACATATCCTCCACTCTATATAACAGAGAAAAAAGAAGACATATATTTATTAGTGTTGCTTATTTAAACAACTTTTTCCCCTTGACAAATTTCATTTTGCTGATAAAACATCTGTATTTTGGTATTAGCTTATTTTCATTCTGCTGCTTAAACCATGGGTGCAATAAAAACAATGACAATGTTTCTCTATGAGGTAAATATGTTTTTAACTGTTAGCCCATTATATAAATGGGGAACAAACTTCTTTCACAGAAGAACAAAAGCAAACAAGGGTGGGAGAAATTCAGAAGTGATACTAATGATTTATTCCTAGCTACTCAGCAAATGCTTAGTCTGTCAGAGCTTGATGTTGTTACTAAAGAAGCTTTCAGATACAGTAAATAAAGTTAGTTGAACTTTTAAAAGACAAAAAATCACCATTAAAAGCTTTTCTGATTAAGGTCAAATTGAAGAAAAATAATTTTGTCTCTTACAGCAAAGCAGGTAGACAAGTGAAAATGATTAAAAACAGTCGTCTTAATTAAGTATAGAAGTAATTAGATCTCAAAGATAATCTGTCAGAAGACACTGTTTTCAACAGTTATTTTACTTTAACTAGCCATGCTGGCCTATTGTTGCTTCGCTTACAGAAACCATAACTCACAATAGTGATATTGACCTTAACATGCAGACATTTTAAGCAGTGCAAAGAGGACTTTTTTAAAGTTGTGTTCAAAAGGCCACACGGAAGGAATGCTCTAAGCACCTTAAAAGTAGCCCTGTAACATTTCAAAATTAGAGAACCATTATATATAAAAATGTAACCGATGAAAAAACACTATTACAGCTTCTTACCTGCTGAGAACTCTCTATCACAAGTGCCAAGCCAAACTTCGAGTCTCTTATTTTTATTGAACGCTAATGGTAAAGAGGTAAAAAATGTTTGTTAAAAATTTTGGAATTACCTGATAAAAATTCGCTTTATCTAATTTTTAGTTTTGGTGGGGTTTTTTGGTTTTGTTTTTTGTTGTTGTTGTTTTTTTTACATTGTACTAATTACAATTACTGGTTCTGGAAGCTCAGCTACCAGCACTCCCTCCCATTTACCATTACAAATCTGAACCCCTGAACCTCAGGGAAAAGTGTTTTTATCAGAAGTGATAACAGCGGTAACAGTTCATTTCTGAACATCAGGTTCACAGATCACTAATCCCAGTGTATGTAGGTGGCATGAAGCATCATAGCAAATGTTAGTTTGAACACTGGAAATACCAGCCATTTTCAGCATCTGTACCTGCTCATGAAAACCCCCAATTAATCTGGACAGAAAAAAAATCTACGCTGGTAAGACTAAATTCATCCCTTACTGTGGGGCATGAAATACTAATTTTGGTGAGCCGGGAGTTTTAACTGAAGACTTAAACCTATGCCATTTCATTTTAAAAAATGGTTGTTTTAAGATACTTACAATTTGTAGATATGGTATGCTGACATTAAAGCTGTCATTCATACTTGCATGCCAAACTATTCTCACATTAGTAATAAAAAATGTTCCCAAATTTCCCTATTAAAGAAAAGGTATGTTAGAAGTGCTTTGAAGTACAGAGCCTTTTTTCCACGCACAATGATTACTGCTATCCATTTAAACACAAGTAGGATACAGATTCATATTCAATGCAATAAGAGTCTGATTCTTTCCCACCAAATCCAGTCCAAATGCTTCTACTGATTGCAAGGAAGCAAGATCCAATCTTTAAAGGATACAGCACCCAAGTGGTGAACATAGCTGGGAGTACCAATTACTGCAGCAAAGCGGGATCAAATCACAGCACAGCAGGCCTCATGGGAGTACATGAAGCATCTGAGAGTGTTCTTAACTGTACAGACCTGGAATTGGCATATAGCGTAAGTATAATGGCATGTGGGTTAAACTTAGGCAATTGTGGAGATGTGTGCCAAGGGAATGTAGAGGAAAGAACTTTTTAGCTTGTCAGGATGGATCCTATTTCCATTCTGGACTAAAATTGTACAGGCAGAAATAACAGCTCCCATTTTGTTTTATGGCTCTGGGAAATACTTGCAACTAATGCTCTGTAAAATAATAGAAATGTTTTCTATTTTTTCCTTAAAATCTTTCCTTAAAATTTTTCCATGTTTTAAGACACAGATTCCTATTCCAGTATTTCCAATTTCCAGTAATCAAAAGACAATATAGCTTACACTGTAGTCACAGCTGCACGTAAATACACAAATATTCAGCAGAGCACTTAGTAAACAACATGATTGTCTTTCAGGATGATACGGAGCTTTAGACTCATAAATATATCTTTTTAACAGGAACTGTTTGTCTAGTTCCTTGCATATTAGCCGAGTCATGCAGACTTCTGGTTGCCAAAAAGAGACTTTGTTGTACTGAGTAGCAAATATACGGGATCAGTTTCTCCCCATGCATCAGCTGATGAACTGAATTAAGGGTAATCCCTCTGAGGTTACAAAACTATAGTAGTACAATTGCTAGACGAAAGCCAAAAGATTTTAACTTTGCTGCAGTCAACATAGTCTCATTTTTCACTATACCTGGTCACTTGATAAATTCCAAACTCCATTGATTTTATCATATATTTGTTCTTGTGGCAACAATCTCAGCTGCTTGTTTTGAATCAATGCACTTCTCAGCTTCAGATCACGATACATTTTAGAAGTTTCATAAGCTCTGCAAAAAATAAAAAACACACATTACCATTTCAGTGTTTTCTATTATCTTTACTGTTTGTTTTAGCACTAATACGAAATGTTGTGTAATTTCTTATCACCGTGTTGCACAAAAATAAGAGTACTATTAAAACTTCATCAACGTAAACCATTATATTTCAGCTTTCCTTAATGAAGTTATCTTTAAACTTAAAAGGGTTTTTCTGACACCTGTTTTGATCTCCTGAACTGTTCATGTGTATACTATTTCTTGCTTTTCCTTAAGATAGTCACCTCCTAGCCTCTGTTGCAAAGCATAAGTTTTCTGTGTCCCATATTATATCTAGCATGGACATCAAGAATACTTTGTTTTTCAGTGCCGGTTAAGTCACAAACATCCAATATACGTATGTCAGTATTCCATAGCTCTTAAATAGAAACCTATGCTAATGTATTATGCACACATGCATTCAGATGACTTATCTTTAGGTGAGAAACATCCACTGTTTTGCAGTCAATTAAGAGTTCTGACCAGGATTTAAGTCTTCATTTCCATTATATGGTCCAAAATTATGGGAAATCATTATAGACAGAAATTATAGCTAGAAAATGCACACAGAAATTAGCTCTTTTGTACTTTCATTTGTTCAGATAGTTTATACACACAGGGTATATAAACTGAGATGAGTGACTGGTATTAATACACATCAATTTTCATTATACACAGTTATCTACTAGAATTTGTGATCATTCTCTCCCTTCCTTCCAAAGATTGTGTTCTCCTCTTTTGGGAAAGTTTTCTGAATGTTAAATATGGGCAATTATATACTTGGTCCATCAGCAGTAGTAATCCCACATATTTGATTCACTGAATTTTGTAAATGAACAAACACTATTTTAAGTATACTACCTGTGTACAGCAATAACTGAAGTGAAGAGTCTGGGACTCCCGGGGACAACATTAGTAAATATGAACTCAAATCGTGTATTGTTACATTTAGTCAATATATACAGAGCTTCTGTCTGTCCTCGTAATTTCTGGAATGAAAAAATGAAATTTAACATTTTGACAATATAGTAGCTTGACTGTAAAGGCAATAAATAATCTTGACATATTTTCTAAATTTTAGCTCTAAATAGTGTATCTGAAGGTGTAATCCTGATTCTATCACTGATCTGCTGCTGTCTTCAACTGAACTCATCTTTTTTGGAGAAACTAGCAGTTCCATCAACAGTAGAAATAATGAAGCCTGCCTGCTCTACATTTTCAATATCATGACTGAAACAGTGGCTGCCCGGGGAACCTACATAATCTCTCTGCTAGTTCTTTGCTGCAAGCCAAACAAATGGCTTCACAGTTGCATGCAGTTCAGGCTATCTATTCGAGAGCTTTCTTCCACAAAATTAGTGCCTCTCTAGACCTTTGTGAAATTTAGACACAATGAGCCAACAAATGCTTGGCTTACCTAGAGGGGAGAAGAATCACCAGTGTGATTACATGAGTTTTACTGCCTTAGGAAACTGACTAAAAACACGCTCCTACAGAAATGTAAAACTCTCTCAACTTTTAAAACTAAACTTCCATTACTATTCTATTACTGTTCTTGCAAGTAAACTTTCACATTATTGTTGATATAGTGCAATAAGTACAAACAATGAATTACAGCTTCTTTTGTTATTTTTAAAAGTATTTCTTGAAACTTACTGAGTTGGCAGTTCTTGTAGTTATATTTATAATGCAGTTGTAACCAACAGCTAATTTAGGGGAGAAAAAAAGAACAGTTTTGAGAACCAGAAAAAATAACAGCCAAAATTACAGAGTATAATAGTGAATTTTGTAGCACAGCTTTGGATGCCGTTTGTGAGAAATACACATTGTGGGTAATGGTCTGGGCCCTCATCACAAAATCAAAGACTAATTTAAGCTGGAAAGGACCTTGGGAGGTTGTCTGGTCCAACACTCCTCAAAGCAGGACCAACTCTATCTGGCTATCCAATCGAGTTTTGAATTTTTCCAAAGAAGGAGAGTCCACAGCCACTCTGGGAGCCTGTTCCACTGTTTGACTGCCATCACTGTGAACATTTTCCTCCTACTATCTAATCAGGATTTCCCTTGTTTCAGCGTTTGACTGTTGCCTCAAGAAGGTCTGTTTCATTATGATGTCTCTCGTAAATTTTACCCTTACAAATAAAACTTTCTACATTGATATAATACTGTGTAGAAGAAGAGCTAAGGAAATGACAAAGAAAAAAAAGCAGCAAAATGGAAAGTATAAATGGAGAAGAAACAAAAAGAAGATGATGAAAAAAGTTGTAAATTTCACTTTGCCTCTTCTACAGTAGTGCTCTGACACATAATAAAAACAGAAACAATCCCAGCCGTTCTTCCTAAAAGAAACGGGATGGAATAAAATGATGCTGGGCTAAATCTGAATGTCAATGACAATCCTGCTACTGATACCAATAGTAGCACAGCCAGATTAAAAAAAAAAAAATAAAAAAAAATAAAAGGAGAACCAGAATTTGCTTTAGGAAGATTCTGCTTCCCCAAAAGCTCAGATGTGACAGCAGTTGTGCAGAGAAGAATATTCAGTCTTTACAGAATTAATACTTATGAAAATACCAGAAAAAGACTATTTCCTAGGTTCCTTACGAGAAATTTTCTAAAACTAAAAGAAATAGCAATGGTCAAAAATGGCATCCAACAAAATAATATTTTTTTGTCTATATATTCCGCTAATGTAAGAAATAATACACTATCTTGAAAGCTAGTGAGTATTTTAAACTTTAAAAGCCATTGGTTAGACTTCCTTGAGCTTCCATAGGGCTAAACTACTCTGTAATTTTTGTGATCTCCTCTAAAAAAGTCTATTTTAAAACTTAAATACACAAGCAAACAATTTTTTTTTGTTTTTATTAATACACATTAAAGTAGCAGTGTGTGCGCGCATACTTGTATATGATTGCATGTATGAAATAGCAAATGCAGAAAAGGAAGCAGACAGAGGACATAAGTTTATATACATTATGAACAGAACACAGATTTTCAGTCTTGATTGGCTATTGGGAACTGAGCCCTGGAAATAATTTGGGTACAAAATAAGTGCATCCTGCCCCTGTTTCAGCAGATTAAATTAAATATAAGTAGACCTGCTAGCTACTCATACAGTTAAAATTAGAAGCTTATACAGCACTTACGATAGTAAATTTGGAAAGGCAGATACTTGTGGGGAATAAAAACTGTAGGACAATACAGAATGTGAATGAACAGATGGCAACAAGAGGTACAAGTAAAGCAAGGTGTGAAGAAACTCAAACTTTTGTTTCTTTCTAAAAAAAACAAATGAATCCCACATAGGCCAAATGAAAAATATGTCTGAAGTACTATTCAACTGCTGTTCTGAGAAATTAACATTTAATATTAATATTTTGCTTTGAATTATTACAACAGTTCCTATATTACAAATAGATTCATTAGTAACAGTTTATTTAAGACTTTACAGATAAACAGAACTATACTTTATTATTCTGCACTATAATCAATACTACTGTGAAAGAATAGCAAGCCACCACAAAGGAAACACAAAATTTGCAGTTGTTTAACAGGAGATGATACTTACAGAGATTGACTCTGGGCAATGACAATGAGCGCCAAATAATCCGCAAATTTGTCACAAGTAGTCTACCTGGAAATAAAGAGTGCAGATATTTTTAATCTGCTTAACTTCCATTAAATTAAATGTTCCATTTTGTGGTACCTATTTACTTCTAGTTTTGAAACACCAGAATATTCCTTCCCCTGGATAGGAAAAAGAAGAAAAGTACAGGACACCCCAGCAGAAAAAAAATCACTAAACACTTTTTTTTTTTGAATGCTAGGAGAGAAAATCCAGCAAGGAACAAATGAAACAACCCCTAATATATACTAGCATTCCTCAAAACCGAACAGTTACTCATTTCACATGCCCCTGCCTATGGTAAAAATGCAGAGACACAATCAGTGCAGAACTGCTCTAGGGAGAAGGGGAAGGCAGTGAGTTAACTATCGCAGCTGTCTTCATGAATAACCTCACCCCTTTATGTCACATGCAAATTGCTTCGATTCTGTACCCAGTACAGCAACACATCCAGCCTCAGGAAGGGTCATCTCAGCATGCTGACAGCTTCATGCCCTTGCACACTATATATACATTCCTTACTGATTCAGTTTAAACCAGGTTAAGAAAAACTAAGCATTAAACAGGATTACGGCAGAAGATCACCACAATATTTATAAATGGATTATTCTTATAAGGCTTTCAATTCTAAGCAAATTCTGAGACAAGATTATCACCTTCCTGTAACCGTGAACAAGAGATCCTATTTGAAAATACTCCAAGGGGAGACAGATCTGTGAAATGGGCAGGATCTATTTTCTGCAACAGAGAACTGATATCGAGTTCAATGGAAACCAGACAGGGCTTTCATGAACCTATACAGGCTAAATATTAGAAAGTTTACAATTCCCCTGAGTATGCAGTTACCTCTGTCTCCATTGTTTCCTTTGGTATCTTCAACAGACTCTAAGCAGTCTATAAGGACCTCTCCAGGTCTCATTTTCATTTGTCTAAAATTAAAAAAAGAAGGAAACAATTACCTAATGAAAAATAGATTATCCTCAAAAAGAAAGCTATTTCTATTTCCCCACTTAGCTTTCCTTTCTCCTTTTTTTGCTTAGCATATCATACAATGAAAAATCCACATATACACACACACACAAATCAACATTATATACCTGAAACTTTTATCACTCCATCTGGCATATAAAAAATATTAATACCTTCATTACTAATTTATAACAGTAAATAAATAATTATGTAGCAAGTGTGACCAAGCAAACTATACCACAAAATAGGGAGAAACTGTGAAAATGGGAGGGGAACAGCAAAAAAGTTGCATTCACATAATTTTTTAATGGATAGAGTCTGTTGCCTCTTGCTGTCCTTTTAGGTCATAAGGAATGGAGCTCAGGAAAGAACAGATACCAGAAAAGGAAGTATCAGATACATACTGACATGTGAAATGCTCTGCTAAATTATCCACAAAGGGTGGGGTTTGGTGGGGTTTTTTTAGTATTTTGCTTGATTTGACTGGTCTAACTACTTAATTACACAACAACAGATGTAGTGTGAAATTTTGCTGAATTGTAATTGTATCATGCAAAGCAGCCAAAACTCTTCAGTGTATTAGCATGACAGGAACAAAATGCATTATCAGGAGGGCAACTCCATGAGATACTACTGGAGAGCAGGATCGAGACAGTAGGTGTGGACTCAACAACGCATCACCAGCATATCACAAAAGATATTAGACAGAGGAGGTAGCAAGAATAGTAACATTAGCATTAAAGAAACTATGAAAGCAGGCTCTGTCTACATGAAAAAAAGACGGAACTGCTTAAACAGACAAGATAAAATTTCGTGTTTCTAAATTTACTGCAGGCAGCGTGTCTGAGGGACAAGGGGTGTTCTCAGAAGGGTGAGCTGAGCAGGAGGGAGATGAAGCATGACAGTACACCTTCGGCCCCCATCCCTGAGATCATCACCGACCAGCTGCTAAATTGTAGCTCCCTATTACAGAAGCCACGCGGGATTTTGCCACAGACACCAGAGCAGGAGCGTTATGACCGAGACAGGGCTGAGAGCCGAGGAGAGGTGAGGGCGCAGGGGCTGAGGCAGCACCGCCTCCTCACGGACGTTCGGGACAACCCTTCAGCTCTGTCCCCGCAGAGGCGGCGCTGCCACCGCCCGTTCCCGTGAGCTCCGGCTGCCAACACCACGGCGGCGACACCGAGCCCTCCTTAACCAGTGACAGGTACCGTCCCCTCAAACACACACCTCAAGTTTGGTTTTACTTCTCAGCGACAGGTGGCTGGGAAAAGAACACCCTGCTCTCGGTCCTCCACTGGGCAAACTTTTGGGGTTTTTTCCCTTTTATAGACCGGAAACGGTGACTTGACTCCCCCTACCACACGCTCCCCAGCCAGCCCGCCTAAGTCTCAGCAGCCACACAAACCTTTCCCGCCCTGCCTGGGGCACCCGCTCCCCCCCCACAACCTCCGCCAGAGCGGGGCGGCTCCCAGC